CGAAAGCATCCCATTTTGCATACGAGGATTCGCTTTTACTCAACGGCTTTATTATTACTTTTATTACGGCATTGATTTTGCGTGTAAACTTGGCAACGCTGTGTGTACCGTCAGAGAGCGCACAGTAACGATTTCAACAGTTAAAAACGTCGTGCGGACAAGACGAGGGCCCGAAAAATTGATTTCGAAGTAACGCTCGCCCCCGCACACGCACGCAAAAATGTATCGTTCGGCGCAAGCTGTCAAGCTCGCTAGGAAACGCGGGGCACTGCACGACGGACTCTCGAAAGCAGAAGAGAGGCTTCCCCAAGTAGCACCAGGTGATCGTTTTGAATACAAAAGGGGTCCATCTTTTCAAATTCTTCATAAATTAGCGCAATGAACTCTAAATCTGCGCTCGAAATAAACTCCAAAAGAGTACCTTTTGTAAAAGTGCTCAGGTTTTGGTGATATAAAAGCCAATTATTTTTCAACTCCTAGGAACATTTTTAGAACGGAAATGGGGTGGGAAAAAGAATTCACAATTCCAGAATTCAAAAAGAATCCCATTTGGATTCTCCGCGCTGTATTTGCACGGAGAGAATTTTCTCTTAAAATTCACCCTGAAAATCGTGTAATTGTTGGACAACGTGGCATTTGAAGAACTTTTTAAGAGTTTACTAGTAAAATGTATGATAAAATTTCAAAAAAACTCTTATAAAATTCTTCAAATAGCATGTTGTTTGACGATTACATGATTCTCAGGATGAATTTTTAAGAGAAAATGTATGATAAAATTTCAAGAAACTTATAAGCTTCCTCGAAATGCTGTCCCACGATTACATGCTTTTCAGGATAAATTTTTACAAGAAAATTCTCCCCATGTGAAAAACTTAGGAACGCGCAAAATGCAATTGTTCAATCGCTAATTATCTCGTTAGTCGATCTCGCAATCAGTTTCATGATCAAGAGAGTCCCGGTGGTTTTGGAAAGACCGTTATTTCCGTTAAAGGAGACGAGAAATTTAAGGATAGTAAGACGTGCATAGTGCCACACGTTTCTCCTCCTAGCATCGTGGCATTGTACCGTTATACAAGGCTAATCTCTTCCCCGTCGGGGACATTGTCTTGCCGCGATAAGGTGACCCGAAAATGTCGGGTACCGTTTCTTATATTTTAACACTTTAATTTTTACCCTTTAAAAGTAATTAAGATAAAACGCATCTCTGTGGAAACACGTGCTGCCGCGTTAGGGCCTGGTGGCGCGTTCCTTGGCCGACTCTCGAGGTCGATTCTTCCTCCGACCGTCGAGACGGGTCGACATCTTTCGCACAGTTCGCGCACAGTATAAAGCCAGCGGCACACGATACTATTTTTTTTTCTACTGGATTGCTTACAGAAACCAATAAGGATGCAGAGTTTTAGATCAGGTGACTGAAAGCTAAATCCATTGGCTCTCGTAAGCCATTCAGTAGGAAGAATAGTATCGTGTACCGTTGACTTAAAGCCCATATCAGACTACGGATTGAGATTGAAATTTAACCTGTAGAGGGCCGGCATTTTTCCATGGAAATTTGTAATTTTTTAAACAGAAAATTTATGCATATACGTAATCTACATGTTCCGCAAAGTTCTCAAGTTTGCTCCTGGCCACTATAGTGGCCAGTCCGGCCCTCTAAAGGTGAACCAATTGGAGTAAAACTCACTAAACGTGAGATTAGTAAACTTTGCTCCGATTGGTCAAATTTCAATCTAATCTTAATCTCAATCGGTAGCCTGATACGGGCTTAACTAGTAGGTCCACTCCGTCATTTGTTTCGTTTTGCGCCGGTCCCTTCTGCACAACCGACACTTTGTTGGTCCAGCCAATGAGAGATAAACTGTACGTATGGTAGTGTAGTTTGATGAGTATGTACACACACATACGTTGCTGGATTTGGACCAAAGACATGGCGAAATACCACGTGATCGGTACTACAAAGATCGAAGGGGTCAACAGAGTGGACCTACTAGATATAGTATGGTTCCCGTATCTTCGAGCGACCTCGGCCGGACTCTGATTAGTTCAATCGGCGATTAACTCAAATACTATTTTGTTGATGCGAATAGGATTGTTAATGTTTTGTGTCAATGACAGAGATTAGAAATATATAATTGAAATGAAAATTGTGTTACACAGACTACATAGACTGCGTAGAATTACAAATTTTGTTTTCGGCGATTCTACCGCATATCCGGTTTCACCAACGTTGTTTAATTTTAAGCTTAGCTCAATTCGTTACTTTAGAAAGAGACAAGCATGAATTAAACTAAGATTAAAGTTAAGCGACGTTTAGTGAAACCGGGCCTAAATTAACCAGCACTGGATGGAAGTCGCCTTTCGTAATACACTGATCTTGGTTTTCACCAACGTCGTTTAACTTTGATCTTAGTTTAATGCCCCTGTCTGCCAATGCAGATTAACTTCAATCTCGGTTTAAATTGTTTTTAACCTTTTTGCAATTTTCAAAACTAGAAAAAGATATAAAGTAAGTTAAATCGAGATTAAAATCAATCTGTATTGGTAGAAATGGGCCCCACCAAATCATCTATCTTTTTCCAAGAGGACAGTTAAGGATGTATTACGTATACCTTCCCAGCAAAAAATACAGTAATCTTAAAAATTCAATATATATCGGTTGTATGCATACTTTAACGGCTGGCTATTATTGAATATTATAACAAAGATGTTAATTTTACTGATTTAAATAACTTCAACCTCTTTTTATAATTATTAACAGCGTATTTATAAATATTCTTAATAGCGGTTAAAACTTTTGGCTGGGAATTTGCCATGAATCCAACTGCTAAAAACAAAAATCTGACATATATAATCTGCATATATGGTAGACAGAAAAATGTTTCATAACTTGTCAATCTCCAAACAATATGTTGTTTAAAATTGGGATATAAGATATTTTACAGATATCATTAAGACAACTTGTACACGTAACATCATAAGACGTCTTATAATACCCTATAGGTATTTCTAGTTTGGACAGCGTGTTGTCTGGAACGCACATAAAATTTAAAAAAATTAATAACTTGAAAACGAATCAGTCAATTGATTCAAAATTTATCACAGGTTTTCATGGTATATAAATGCACAACTTCTGTAAATTTCAGCTTTTTCGCTCTATTTTAACTTTAAGTAACATACATCCTTAAGCCTAGTCTACAATGAGCTCTCTGCGCCAAGAAACATTCTACTACCCACACAGCACAGAAAGATTGTAGGAAGATTGCAGAAATGTTACATTGCAAAATTGCAATATTGCAGCAACGTTGCGCAACATTGCTGCAACGTTTCTGAAGGATTGCGCAGCAACGTTGAAACGTCCGCCTTCAGAGAGATTGCAGTGCAAAATTATAGCAATGTTGCAGCGCAATATTTTTGGAATAATTTGTCGTTATTGTACATAAGCAGAGAATTTACTAATTACATATGCGTCCGGGCCTTTTTCAATACACAGCAAGCTATTGCGAAGCAACCTAAGGAGATTATGTCGCTTCGCAATAGATGGAGATTGCGAGCAACACCGCACTGATCAAGTACTTAATAATTCGCGCATTATTGGTATCAACGAAAATAACATTATAAAATTCTCGTAATTAGAAGAATTTTTTAAATAGAAAATATAGTATTTTCATTATTTTTGAAACATTGCTGCAATATTGCTGTCGAAAGTTTGCAATTTTATATCCCTGCAATGTCTCTGCAAGATTGCAACGTTTCTGCAATGTAACTGCAACCATCTGTCCTGTATGGGTATAAACAAATTGAAATGCTTGAAAAATTTGTCGACAATGTACGACTGTAATGTGTAACATACAATTTATCAACTTGCACGAATGTTTTAAACGTATTTATTTACCACGAAATAGAATGTTTCTAGACGCAAAAAACAGTTGTAGATCAGGCTTTAGAAAAAAGACAAAGGATAAAACCAGGGACTCAATCGTGAATCTTTTCCTATAGCGTAAACTCGTGAAAAGTGAAAAATTTCATTGATAAATATTAAACTTGTCAATGAAATGTTCTCACTTTTCACGAGTTTATTGAATCCCTGGGGCTCGATCACGAGTCTTTTCTTTTATAGCGTGAATTCGTGAAAGGTGGAAAATTTCATTGACGAATAGTAAAATTCCCCAACGAAAATTTCACTTTTCACTCTAGAAGAAAAGATTCACGATCGAGCCTCAGGATCAAAAGTTGAACGACGATGGTGAAGACGAACCGAGCCTTAAATTCGTACTCTATCCAAGCGGAATCCCTAAAATCGCTCGAGAAATACAATTTCGTTGTTTCGCGGCAGCGCCGTTGCCCCCGGACATTTTCGCGGGGGAAAACTCGACGGCGATTCGGCCGAGGGAGGAAATCGAGTAGAACCGACGCGGCAGGGGCGTCCCGTTCTATTTTGCAGCTCGTTGACGGGCGATCGTTTCGCGAAGGATACAGGACTCGGGTAAAACTCGCAGGTGAAGCGACAGCGGGAGTCGCGCGGCGGCGGGCCTACTCGACAACGATCTCTCCTAGGAGCCGCCTCTCTCCTCCACCTCCACACCTCCTCCTCGCCGACGGTGCTTCTCGCGAAAGAAAGAAAAAATAAAAACGCGCGCGCAGCTGCACGCCGCGAAGGTTCATCCGGACGGATTCGCGTAGGCCGCGCACGGGTGGCTAATCAAATCCGGCGTGAGGGATGCCATGTTGTGTTCCCCGCGCGCCGGCTTCCCGCGATTGGTCGATTTTTCCGTGCACGCGCATATATATATATATATGTATATATATATATATATTTAATACGCGAGTCTCATCTGGACAGGCCTTTAGCGGCGCGCGGGGTTGGCGGCGGCAGGGCGACAGGGGGCGAGCGCGGCTCCCGCTACGGCCCTGGGTTCGTAACTTTTTAACGCTTCCCACCCGTCGCGCCTGCCCTCTGGCGTGCCAATCATCAGCGATGAACGTGTGCTCCCTATTTACAGGTTTTGTGAATAAACCGCGTGTAACCCCGTGCCCCCGTCGAGCGGTCGAGCGATCCTGAGGAACATCGGCGGCCGCCGGACAATACCGCTTGCGCGCGGCAGTCATCGGCGACGTCGTCGCCGCCGTCACCGACGAGGCCCCGCGACGATGCCGCGTCGCCCGACGCTCGCATAGGCAACCCTCGCCGTCGCCCTCGCCGTGGCCGCCGTCGCCGCCGCTCGTCCCTTCATCACCGTCTTCTCTTCGTCCCCCTAGGTGCGTATACACACGCCGTGCGCGTCCGCCGACCAGCTTCGTCGCCAGCTAGGGACGGGGGGAGGACGGGAACGAATAAAGGTAGCGCGTCCCGAGGGTGGCCCGAGGATCCCGAGGAATTAACCTCAACTCCTCCGCGCCGGCGGGGGGGGGGGGAGCGGCAGGTCCGCTCGCGTCACCTACACCTTCTGCACTCTCGTACACCCGGGGGACGACGTAGCCGTGTGTGGCGTACGCTACCTGTGTCATAGAAACGCTCGGGATTGTCCCAATTATTTCCTAGATCTCCACTGTGCTTCTTCTAGGGGAAACCGGAGTAATTGCGATCGGAATCCGTTCCGAGCATTTCGACGATATATCGCTAGCTTTTTCCCAGGTGCATCAGACCAGTAACCCTTACGCACGACTCAGAGCGGCGGGCGATGAGCGAGAGAGAGAGATAAAAAAGCGCGAGGATTACGCGCGGCATGAATGAGACTTGATCGCCTCGACCGCGTCGCTCGACGTTCGACCGAGTTGACGCACAGCTGCGTGGACGAGCTTCACGTTCCGACCGGTGCGTGTCTCCTGGTCTCTCTCTCTCTCTCTCTCGCGCGCGCGCTCTCCCCCCCCCCCTCCTCGCCCCTGATCGTCTGCCCGTTCGTCCGTTTGCGCTCCTGCGCTCTCGAGCGCGCGTCGTCGCGTCCTCGGCGGCGCGTCGAGTCGAGCGCATCGCGTCTCGGGAGTGGATCGTCTCGAGTTGGCGCGAGCCTGCGAGTCGGCGCACGCGGAAGGAATATACCCCGTCCGCCCCGTCTGTCTCGCCGAGAGTAAAACGAGGACGTGCGCGATCCTGCCCGGATCTCGCGGGGATCGGGAACGAAGGCGCCTCTCTGGACACGGTAAACTTCGCTAGGAGTCGCCTCGTCTCTCCTCTCTCTCTCTCTCTCGCGGTCTCGTCTCGCCCCGCGGGCTCTCGATCTCTCGCGACGCCAGGAATCGGCGCGGCGGCGAACAGAGAGAGGAGAGAAGAGCGCGCGCGCGACGTGACGTTTTGGGATCGGCGCGGCGCCGGGGACGCCCCGAGACTACGTCGGGCTGGCGAGAACGTGCGCGTCGGTAAGCGCGGGAGCGATGCCCCGGGAGCGAGGCGGCAACCTCGTCTCTCTCTCTCTCTCTCTCTCTCTTTTCGCGCGAGTACCGTTCGCCGCGCTGGCTCTCGCGCGCCGGAGGGCACCGCCGATCATCTGTCAGCCGACGATCTGTCCGTCTGTCCTCTCTCTCTCTCGTCCTCGCGCGGGGGTTAGCGCAGCGCGTTATAACCTCTACGTCGACGCCGTCCCGGTCGCGGCGCGGCTGGGACCTCCTCCCTCTTTCCCTCCCCCACCCTCTCCCCGTCTTCCCGTCAGTCACTCCCCTCCCCGGCGAGGGGCGACTAGTTCCTATCCTCTCTCTCTCTCTCTTCCCCCCGCCCCCTCCCCTCGCGACGCCGGGGTACGTCGCGAGAGGTTCGTGACGCGAACGTCACGCTCGTGGACGACGACGTGCCCCGCGAGCGGCGGTCGGTGATCCGCGAGAGACCGACGCCGGACGTGTAAATCCCCGTCGCCGCCGCCGTCGCCGCCGCCGCCGCCGTCGTATCCTAACGTGCGGTGCCTCGTCGGGAAACTTTGCGCGCGCGCGTGCGCGCGTACGGTCCCTGCGTGTAGATGTAGAGGAGGTTGGTAGCTGTGCGCGAGGGCGGGCGGGCGGGAGGATCGGGACCGAGGACTGACTGGCTGGCTGGCTGGCTGGTCGACGGAGTAACCGACTGGCGCTCGCGAACGCTGGCTGGCGGTGGTTAGTGAGCGCAGGTGACTGACTGGGAACGACGCTAACTGTTCTCGCGGGAGCCTCTCTCTCGAGACGGACAGAGACGGCGAGCGCGCGCGAGAGAGAGAGAGAGAGAGAGAGAGAGCGAGCGAGCGCGCGCGCGCCAGGAGTCTCGGACGTCCGTCCATCCGTCCATCCGTCCGTCCGTCCGTTCATTTGTTCGACCGTCCGTCCGTGCGTCTGTTCGTCGAGAGAGAGAGAGAGAGAGAGAAAGAGAGAGTGAGTGCGTGTGCGTGTGTGTGCGCGCCTGAACGGGGACCCGAGCGACGCCATCGCCGTCGCGCTGGCGCTCGCGCGTCCGTTGGCCGAAACGCCCCGGGTGTAGCGCGCTCGCGACACCCGGACACCCTCCGACGGGAGTTTGTTGGTTATGGGAGCGCGAGCGAACGCAAGTGCGGAATTCGCAGCGCCATTTTGAAAAATTTGGCCCCGCTAAAAATCCCCCTCTCCCCGCGCCCGCGCCCTCGCCAGCCTCCCCGCGCGGCGAGCCGCGAGGAGAACGTGGTGCGGCCTCCCCGTGTCGTTGACCACTCCGTCGGCTCCCTTGGCTCAGTTGGTGTGTCGTTGACTGTTTAGATCGACCGCGCGGCGGACCACGGTGGACTCATGGAGGGCACGCTGGAGGAGCCTGCCGCCAAGGACCCATCCCGGGGCAGCCCCGACAGGCACTTGAAAGGTGAGCGGCACGACCTGCCCCCGTCCCATCGTCCTCCACCGAGTCGCACGCGTCTGGTTCGCAGTCTGGACATTCTGGACCCGCGGATTCCCTTGTACCTGCGGAACGCAGCGCTCTTCCTTGCCGCAATGTCGCTTCGCCCGACTCGACGCCTGTTGTCGAGCTCTGTGCGGAGATTCTGTAACTTGCTGTCGAGGCTTTGCGATTGACCAGTGAAAACCCACGAGGAGCTGCGTCTTTTTCCAAGATTGTCTTCGCTATTGGCTGTCGCTAGTTGACGATACGATGCTAAAGAGCGTCGATGGCAAGTCACAGGATCCCCGTACTGGTCTGAGTTTTGCTCGTGCTCACTTTTGCCGATGTAGTTGAAGGGCCTGAACAGAACGGCGAATGTTTTATGTTTTAAATCTTTGCCTTAAAGTAACACATGATAACTGTCTTGTGACTTAAAAATACAAGACAGCCATTCTGCTCAGGCCCTAACTTCAGTCTCGGTTTAATTTACTTGCCATCATTTTCCAACTCTCAGGCCTGGTTTCATCAACCTTGTTTGACTTGGCTTAATTCGTTCTTTGTCTCTTTTCAACTGTGCTCCAGAAAGAGACAAACGTTAATTAAACTAGATTAGCGTTAAGCGACGTTGGTGAAACCGGGCCTAAGGGTTGGAAAACGATGGCGAGTAAAGTAGAAGCCTTAGACCCGGTTTCACCAACTTTA